CACAAGTTCTAGTGAATACAGAGGATGACATAAAACCTCTCAGATATAATCAATAAGTTTTTGTTTGACATTCATCAAACAGTGGGGCTAAGAATTGTCATGATGGAAGTATGCATTGAACAACTTGAAGATTGGTCACTTCTGGGTGCTTTCCTTCAATTTCTGCTTTTAAAACTAACATTTGGGGAAAATCTTTCTCTGAATTTATTATCAAATTTGGAGGCAGCAATTCATAGCACAAAACTCCTTCATAGTCCAACCATACACAAAACATGACTTTTTAAGGATGCAGCTCTCCTCTTGATGTTATTAAAGGAGGTTGTTTTTGTCTTACCCTGTGATCTTTTTCCTTGGAGCATTATTGCATAGTATTCGATTATCTTCAGTAATGAGCCATTTCAAAAAAGAAGCTTCTTCACTTTTTCAGCAAAGAAGCACATGTCAAAACTTGAGCAAGCATACTCTGCTATGTTAAAGTATGCAGTACTCATACATCATAACAACTTACATACCCAATCTCCTTCAAATGATCATGTATTGTACTTTTTAGAATATTTATACTATCTCATAGTTTCTGAAATGTATAATTAGGATGTTAACAATAGCTTCCTTTAATAGGTTTTTGTATACAGAGGATGGTTGTTCAGAGCAGACATCGTCTTTGAAACTGAAATTTCTGCATTAAACCTTCAAACTGTGTCATCAAAACAGCACTTTCTCCACTTTCTAAGAGAAGTCCAAAAAGTTTAATCACTTTGTATTTAAATAATCTCTAAACAAAAAGACTTATACTTACTAATCTAATGCATAGTGTAGTGTAAGATAATTAATTTGTTGTGGTAGGCAGAGCTGGTAATTATGTCATGAATGCGTAGGTGGTTGGTGGTGGTATGAGCCAGTCATACTAGCCAGTGCAGCAGAAGACAGTCAAGTAGCAACAATGGCTGAGGTTCTCTTGTTATTTGTTGAATGCAAGGCTTCACTAATGTGGTACTGGAAGTGCGAGAACATTCACGAGGTACAACGGCGACAGAGAGAGATTGGAACACCACCAACAACACACCAAACAACTGCCCACATTTATGATAAATTTGAAGCTGGGGGAACTGTTAAAGATGTGCATAAGGAAAGATCTAGCTGACCTTGAATAGCTTCAAATCCAGCATCTAGGGATGCAGTGCTGCAACATTTGTTTTGATAATCACAAAAATCAGTGAACCAGGAAGTGCATGAAAGAGGGCTGAGCCAGTCAAGTAAAAGATGCATTCCAAAGAGTGCAAAGTAGAAAGTGTACATACCAAGACTGCTACATGCAATGAATCAAGATGATCCAGATCAAAGAAGGAGTACTGTGAATGGCTTCAGCACATGGTTCATGAGGATGAAGAATTTGCAAGGAAGTTTGTGTGTACTGACAAGGCGCAATTCAAACTTAACGGTATTGTGAACCATCACAAATATGTCTACCGGACTCGTGAAAACCTTCGCACTTTGAATCAGACCATGAATCTACCGGGGTTGCAGTGTGTGTGGTCTATCAGAGCGTGGTTTGATTTGTCCCTTCTTTTCTGAGAGTACCGTAACTGGTGAGGTGTGTATTGATATGCCTTAAACAAGGATTTTGCCTGCCATTCAAAATCTGTAAGGTGACCTTTTTTTACACACAACAAGAGGAAGCCCTGCCTCACTACCAACAAAATGTCAGGTTGTACCTTGATAAAAACTTTACCCAGACAGTGGGTAGGTTGAAGAAGTGCCATTGAGTACTCACCTAAGTCTCCTGATTTGACACCTCTGGACTTCTGTCTTTGGGGACCATTAAGAATGAAAGGTATCGGCAAAAACTAGCAACAGCTGACATTGAAAACATCATAGCATCATGTGCTGCTATTACCACTCAGATGCATTAACCCATTAAGGGGCATTGTATAAAATAATTTAAATTCTGGTAAAATTTTGCATGAATTGTAACTTATGGACCCTAAGAACACAAAATTGAGGCTTTAAAAAAAATCTAAAGCGAAATCCTGAATTTTGAGAGTACAATATTTTGTACCGGTGCCCCTCTAAGACATTTTTTTCCAGGTACCTTTCTTAATTTTTGTTTTTTAAATTAATTTTGCATACTTTTGATGTGCCTCTGTAGAGATGGGTGCTTGACTATTGTTATGTAAGCCTAAAGACCAAAAACTTTTAAAATTTCACTAGAAATTTAAAATTAATTTTTTATGCAAACCAGCTGAACATATTTTATGTAAAATATGGGTAAAAAGTTTTTGAACTTGATTTAAAATCAATATTATTATCTTATGAAAAAATTTAGGAAATATAACACTGCATGCATAAACCGTATAATGTTACAAGAAGGTGTAAATCAGCCATAAATAAAAAATTGAAATATGAAACACTACGACTGAGCTGAGAAAGTACGTTTGCATTTTTGAAGTTATAATATATTATTCTTTAGATAATACATAAAAAGGACCATGCTTTATGCTATGATACCAAGAATCACACCCCCCATACACACACTTTAGATTATCGAGGACCGTAAGAGCCCTTTTTTATTTTTCGTTAAATATAGGTTATAATATACATCTTTTTATTCAGGAAGAAATGCCGTTAAGCAATTTTATTATTTGATACACCTCAAAGCTCTTATTTTGATTTTCAACCACTTTGGCCTCCTAAGTGCCCCTTTTCAACTTTTGGATAAATTTAAGTTTGCATCTGAAACGAGCCTTAGAAATATATTCCCTCCTTTCACTAACTGAAATTTTTTTTTGAAAACAACCTATTTGTATTTTAACCCAGAGGGAAATTTTCTCTTGTGTTAGTCTTTCATCTGAAATTAACAAAGATGATACCCTAAAGCATGCTTTGAAATCAGCTGTTTTACCATTACACTAAGAGATGGAACTAAAGTGCATTTCCATTTCCCGTATTCGTAAGTGAGCTTTCCCTTTGCGTGATAAGATCACATAAAGGAAAGCATGACCTTCACATGACAAGTTACTTGTCAGTCACCTCTTTTCACTTTTGCTGCATTCTAGGATTTTAGAAAACACGAAGCAACGGGTGACTTTCAGGGTTAACATCCCACATTTAATCCCTACAATTATGTAACATTTTGACACGAAAGGACAATTTTGAAATGAAACTTTCTCTTGGGAAAGGGTGAAGTGCTGAAATTAAAATTTTAGCTAAACAGAGATGAATGAATCTTGTGTGGAGTAAACAAAGAATAAAAAGAAACTAATATCTTGTATTCAGTCCTAGTGCAGGGTCAGGTCATTTTCATCATCCATATAAATTGGCAGTGTTGCAAAAACTTAATCCACGTCACGAAAAAATGCATGTGAAGCCATTCTTGACAATATGCTTCATGATGCCTTTGTGTTCTTTAGCAATGAGGCTCGTTTTCATCTTTCTGGTTGCACGAATAAGCAAAACATGCGATACTGGAGTATCACGAATCCCCGAGATCTTCATGAGCAGACCCTCCATACAGAACATGTGCCTGTTTGGTGTGCATTGTCTAAAAGAGACATCTTTGAACCATGGTTTTTTGGAGAACATTGCCCTGGATGCCTTATCTCAATATGCGTCGATCTTCAGTGGCTAGCGTGCTCGCCTGATTCAGCCCTGTGTGATTTCTTTTCGTGTTATCTTATATTATCTGAAATCTCTAACATTCAAAGACACTGAGGCTCAACTGAAGAACAATAATAGAAATATAATATCGACAACATATTTGTTGATATGCTGCTAAAAGTGAAAAGAAACCTCAAAACTCAACTATCTCAATGCATTGACCAGAACGGAGGCCACCTTAATGATATTATTTTTAACCATAATAAAAAAAACTGTAAGTGTCTCTATAACTTTGAAAAAAATTAAATTGATATCACTTATACTATTTGTGTCATTCATTTTTGAAATAAGGTAGTTTCCCTGCCGCACCCTGTATTATCACAATAACTGAATATGCAGTTGAAGGGAACAGCTTCCTGAAAACGTGAAGTACAGTTCAAATAAGCAGTTGTCCTTACCAAAATAGGAGGCAATGCATAGCTAGCAGCTGTTATGAACAATTACTACAAATAATCCACAGATCTATTTAAAAACAAAAACAAGAAAAGACACCAGATTTGTCTAACATGCAGAAAGGATATACTGTTATAAAATTTGTATAACAAAAGGCTTTAAAAGAAATTATTTTCTCAGTACAATTACGCTGCTAGTTTCAGAATTTAATTATGACAGGTCATCATGCTCCTCCAAACAGCATTCTTTCCCCAAAATAATTAACAAAATAAACTTTTAAGTTTTGTCTTTTGTGAAATTTCAAGTTGAATTAGACTTGCTACACAAAATATCTTCAACTTTTTCTAATTTCCTTCATATGTATGTAAATTCTGTATTCAGTTCAATCTGCTGCTACCTTTGCGCACTTAATCACTGTTTTGCAAATGTACATACATGCAAAAACCTTGAAAAATTAGCAGAATCAACACCAGTTATTGATTTGAGCAACCAAAATATCTCAAAACACAGAATTTTAGTAATTAAAAGCAAACTGCATTTTATCATCAAAAATTTAATTAATTCAGTATAATATTATTCCAATAGATCATTTACTGTTATCTGTATACTGCTTGTCTTCATATATAAAAGCACAACATAAAAATTACAGATTCATGCCTTCTTAATAAATTTAAAAACATCTTCATTTGGGGGCATATATCTAAACCTATAATTTTTCATTCTTAAAAATTCTATGACATTACACATTTAAAGGGAAAAAACAATAGAAAATACATAAAAATCAAGATTTCTTACTACCAGAAAGAATGACTGATCATATCCTTAACTTTTCTATAAAATCAATGAAACTACTACTCAGACAAAACACTCAAAAGCAAAAGACAAATTTTATGAGAAACAGTATGTTCCTGTTATGAAGTGATATCATTAGTTATCTAGAACTAAATATTTACCTAAAAATCCTGATGAAGGAGGATTTGGTTCAACAGGTACTAAAGTGTTAGTCTGGATGAAATCCCACGCATTCCATACCACCTCTGGGTGCAAGATATAAAATGGTTGCTCAGGATATACTTCCCGATGTAACCAGTATGAAGAAAATAGGTCAAAATCCGGTTTCTTGTACCACTAAATTAAAAGCAGAAAATTTTTAAAAGAGAAAATAATCCCTTGTTAAGAACAAGTTTTGAAAAGAAAAATTTTGAAATTTAATAAAACATTTAGAAAACCAACTTAAGTCTAAATTTTAAGTTCTAATCTCACCAAACATAAAACTCATAACTTTTGATCCCAAGAAATAAATATAAATGAAAAAGAAAATTAATCACACACACACATATATATATATATATAACTTAAATTTCTTAAACTTTTGCATCTCTCATTTTCAATATAAAATTTATGGCACAGCAAAATGCCTCAGTGTACATTTGCGTATTACAAACAATCATAATGTCAAACTATGCATACTCTACAGTCACACTACATATAAGAGAAAAAAGAAATCAGAAATATAAAATGACAACACAACTACATTGCATTATTTATTTATGAATGAAAACATTCTTTCAATCAAAATTTCCTGATATATTGCAAGGAAAAATAATAGGGAGAGTTATGACTTTTAACTGCTTTCTTCATACAAACTGAAAGTTTAAAACTAACGTGTTGCATATGTTAAATTATCTGGCCATGGCAAAGCACATAAGAACTGTCTGCCTAAAGGGAAATATACCTTCATGGAGGACTTTCTCAGGGAAACTGGCTTGTACTCATGATACATTCAAGGAAAAGCTTTAAAACCAAATATGCAGCCAACTGATTTGCTTGGGATCAAATCCAGGTTGATTTTCCAGCATTCAACAGTCAACCACTCAGCCACTGGTAGGGCATTTGTTACAACCACTTTAAAATACTACAGCTGATAATACAAGAAGGTGATTTATTCTCTAGAAAATCCATAAGAATTGCCTGTCTACGGAAAGATACTCCACGATGAACTTTAAAAATATCATGAAATTATATAAAACACACCTTTCTTAATGCAATTGCAAGTAATTTCTGCATTTTGAATTAGATTTATTTATTTATAATGAAATCTAAAGGACGTTTTACAGCTGAATATAAGCTGAATTTTTATGAAGATTTTTTTCCTCATGAAAAAGGCCCATGTAACCAAATATTTTGAGGGTGAAATAATGCAGGGTTTTGAATGGGTATGAAATTTTGCAGGGTGAAATAATTAATGTTCAACAACTTCCTGTTTTTGATCACTAGTGGATGACTCAAATAATTTCAGAATTTATTAAGAAATGAGAATTCCTAAAATTATGAAAATGGTCCAATACGTCAAATTCAGACCCATAATCCTCTCCTACCATAAAACAAAATTGGTTTCCACAGCCAAAGTAGGAGAAAATTATTAGCATTTTAGACAGATGCAAACTTACCATGCTGTACCAAAAAATTCAAAATAAATATGTTGACTTTTAAATTTCCTCAGTCCTGCATTGTCAATGATACTAATGCTTCAGCCAATGTTGAAAATCTAAGGCTTACTTATTTATATGAAATTTCCCTTAGGCTTATTTATTAGGTTTGCTGAGCTATGGAGTCGGAGCCTTTACTCAAAGGAAGAACTACATATGAATCCAATACTAAACATTCCTTCATGCGAGTTATGTACCAAATGGAATGGGACATATCTCCCTCTTCCTGTCCTCAGTGAAAAGAAAAGCTTCATCTTCTTTAACAACAGGAGATGGCCAGCAATGTTTCAGGCTGAGAACAAAGCTCTTAGTTAGGGTTCAAAGATAAGTCCACTCACTTTCTTCAGAAAAGAGCTGACTGACGCCTATGGGTTTCCTTCACTGACAGAAAGAGGTATATGAAAACAAAAGGCTCATTTTCTTTAACAACAGGTGGTGGCCAGCAATGCTTCAGGCTGATAACAAATCCTTAAAGAGGGTTCAAAGATAAATCCACTCACTTTCTTCAGAAAAGAGCTGACGCTTATGGGTTTTCTTCACTGACAGAAAGATGTATAAACCATGTTATTTTATGTGCAAACCATATTTGCATTTCAAACCATAGTACCTTATTTAATTATTAATTTAGTTAATTATTAACAATATATATAATCTTTACCCACAGGAAGGGAAAACTATTTCCATAAAGTATTAGAAAAATCATAGCAAAAATTCAATGTAAAAAAAAAAAAACAGAAAGCCACTTAATGTAGAAAAAAAAGTATGTAACGTGTAATCTTATGCCATTTACCAAACATATTCGTTTTACTTAATCTATCCCTTAAAAAAAAAAAAAAAAAAGGAAAAAAAAGAATTATGTTACACACAGTAATATTTTTTTTTTAAATCAATGAAATTTTATTAAAAGCACAGTAGTTAATGAGATATGCATGTATCGAACTGAAGATTGATACAGACAAATACTCGTGAAAAGTTAATCAACTGTTTAAAAAAAATTGTATTGAAAAACAGTACATATTTGAAAACAGGAAAATAATTAAGAAATCAAGAAAAATCTCACTCTTAAAACAACAAGATGCTTGTAAAAAGCATATATAGCTTAAGTATTACCAATCCAAAGAGGAAGAAATTTAAAATTTAAGGAAAAAGAACAGATGTTTCAGAAAAAAAAAATGTAAAATGCATGGAGGAAATTCAGACTGACAAAATGAAGTAAAAAATGTGTCTATCAAAGGAGAGAGAAAATTTTAGAAAACACACAAAATACACGAGAAATTCAAAGAACTACTAAAGATACCAATGCAAAGCAACAAAAAAGAAGGAATATTAACCAACTCATTCTCTCTAGAAGGTGTGTGTTTAAACATGCATATCAATGAAAGTCATAGACATTTCATGGAAATCATAAAAGCAGAAGCTGAAGTTCTAACCCAAGTTCCATCTCGAAATCAATATGCAACATATTATGGGATAAATGTAAAAAATTACTTATTAATAAGTTTATTCCTGTTTTAAAATAGAGCAAAACAATGGTTCTATAAACTGGTAACGTATTTTGGTTCCATCAAAATTTTATGACACATTTTTTTTAGATTGAATTTACAGTAACATATATACAACAATTAAAAAAAAGGAGCTATTTAAGAAAAATCAGTAAATTAAGTTAGGGATTCAAAATAAATTTCATTTCAGATTATTTTCCCACTCTAAGAGAGCAAATTCTACAATTATTAGTTTGTTCATTAATAAAGAATATTAGGAAAAATATTGTTTCAATACTGAAAAGTATTTAAATTGAATTTTGAAAAGAATTACTTCAAGGTCATATGGCTCCCTTGCATATAATCTGCATACCAAACTTTATGGCTATGTCTCTGCATTATGCAGTTACATACTCAAATTAGTTTACTATTGCAGATTCATTAATTAAAAAAAAAGAAAGAAAAGCTGTTCAAATGTGCTTAAAAATAGTTTATTTATAAGATGAGCATTTGTAGATTTATATTTCATGTTGAGCTTCTTGCAAAACTTTGAAATTTATTTGCTCCTACATAACATTTAAATCAAAATTTTAACAATTGCACAGTAATCTTGTTTAAAACATGTTGTTACCAATTCATTAAAGTGACTGTGTTTTATATTGTATCACTTTAACATTAATAATAACATACTTCAGAATTTATATATTAACAATATTATATATTAATAACATAAACAATAACCTATAAATGCCTGTTGTTTTAAAAATCAAAGTGAATAATAGTATAAAAAATTCAAAGGAATTCACCTCATCTAAAGAGCCATGGTATTTTGAAGGATCCCACACAATTAAGGTAATATTCCGATATAAAGCAGAATTAAAAAAGTCAAACTCAGGTTTAGAAACAACTTGAGAGTTTAAGAATCGTATACTTGTTTTGGATCCTACATCATCTTCATACCCTTCTGTTGGAGCACTATTAAAGCGAAGTACGATATCATGAGAATCTGTAAAATAAAACATTTTAAATATACTTCAGAAAATATTCCACACACAACTAATAAAAACTGTTGAATTTTCCTTAAAAATATTTCTAATACAATTTTATGGTTTTATTACTGTTAAATTTCTTTTGTTTTTAATATTTTACATTGTATAACCTTGAAATAAACGAAATCTACTTCATCTAATTACTGCTTCTACAATGCTAAATTAAGAATGCCAGTTATTGCATAAGGAAGTTGTACCAATAGCCTTCTGGATTACTTTATTTTGTTACTATTAGGTTACTAGTTACAATATTATCATTTGTTATATTAGTTATTTTCATATAATCTATTACTCATTGTCTTTGAAACAAACCTTAACATTTATCTTTAAATGACAAAATAAAAAAGGGGCACATTACTTCCTTAGGGGTGAAAAAATAAAAAAAAGTATGAACATAAAATTTAGAGCATCAGATTGCTAAAATCTCTTTCAATAAAAGCAATAATTGTTTAATTTAAACAAAAAATTGGGAACTTAACATTCCTACTCATTTCATATATTGTAACATTTCTTCCCTAGTACTGCTATTCATTTAAACAAAATCTGCCAGTTATAGAACAACACAATTACTAAGACCCTCCCAGCCTTTCTGTAACTAAACTGCTTTATTCATCCCTGGTATTAAAAATGAAATATTTTTGTTTGAAAGAGACTGAAGAACTCCTATTAGTAACCACACAAATGAATTCGGTTACACTACAGATAAACTGAAATGGCATGCAAATTGGCAACTGTTTCAAAAAGGTATGGAACAAAATTAATTTTTCAGTCACATTACTCTTAAATGCTTTTAATGTTTTATAATTGAATATTGGTTGTAAATATGACACAGACTGGTCTACCTAGAATAGACATTAATGAACGTCCCAGTTTCAGAAGTATATTTATTCACTTCAAATATGTAGTTTCAAATTGTGAAAAATGTTCAGAGTAAAGTCCAGCTACAACAAACCTGTTATAAGGTGACTCAAAATGGCTCAAATGTTAAATGTAGCCATTATGTAAATACAGCAAAAATAACAGAAATGCTTTGTTTTTCATACTTATCCATTACATTTTAAATATTAATACATAAATAAATAACATATTTATCAATTATAATACAAATCTTTATACTATACTGAAATAAAATATTTTCAGCTTTCAATCGGGGGAGAATGATTTACCACTGTTACAAATATTATTTGAAATGTACTCCTTGAATCAAAAAGTCTTAAGGGGGACAAAGCAAAAAAAAAAAAAAAAAACTGGGCAACTACATTTAGGTGTTAAGTTTCTGAATATGAACTTTATGATGCTGCAAAGAATAAATTTCATTCCACTTTAACAATGCAATTTAAATAGCCTTTAACTGCAGACAAATTGCATCCAAAATAAAATCAAATTTTTACTGATTTTCCAACATCAAATGTGAGTATGATACATAAATTGATTTAAAATTAAAGTTCTGAAGATACATGCTATATACTTTACATTGATGCTGTAGCCATTGGACTGAATAGTCAGTCTCAGTTACAAATACTAAATTTTTCAAGATTTCTTTTGTAAATAATGCAAATTTATCCTAAGTCATATTTTGTTTTTGTTTACTGTTTAAAGTTTTGTAGGAAAAATACTTCACAGTATCCCAAAAAGTTAACTTGTTGTGCAGGTATTAGCTAAACCAAAAATCTGGTAACATTTCATGACTTGGTAGCCAAATTCCACATCAAAATTAAATTCTCAAAACTTAATTTTCAATTATTTTGATATTTATAGCATGCAATTCATTCTCATTTTGAAGCACCAAACTTTCATAAAGAAATGTACTTAGCATCAATGATACATGAAAGAAATTAAAATTTATTGCTGACAAGAAAGGTTTTCTGCAATTGAGCTCTCAGTTTTCTAATATATATATAAAATATGAATCATTTAAAAAACACAGTGAAAAAAGGTTAGATGCTAATATCCTACAGATAACTGAAAAAATAATATGCATAATAAATAATATGTCCAATGGTATGAAGTTGATGATCACCAACGGCAAAATTTTCTTAGGAAATTTGACAGAAATTTAAAATTTTGTAAAATCTCCAACACCACAATGCATCATCAAATACTTAGATTTGCAGCTTTTCAATTTCCTATTCATATCAATGGAGCAATTGATTTCATCATTATGTATTACTAAATGAGGAAATGTTTTGCAGTTTTTTGTGCACTGGTCTATATCCAGCAGCTCAAATGTTTTATTGAATATGTTTAACTTAGATTTTTCAAAAAAATAGCAATATGCATTTACTTTAAACAACTTCAAGGGAAATAGTTATTTCGAGCATTTAAATGGAAGGCTATTAAATTAAAATAAACTGTTTAATTACTACAGATGGAAAAAATAAAATTTATGGTCACAACACAAGCATTCTCTCAGACTTTATCACACATTATGATTCTTTTCTTTTCAGAATTCTTAGCTCAAGAAAGTATTTGGTCACCTGAAAAGATCTGTGGCTTTTCGACATAAAATACAAATGAAGCAGAGAAAAACATAGGAAAATTTTTTTGAATCACAAAAATACCATTTTTTGCTATCTCTCTGGACCTGGAAAATTTCTTTTTAAAATGTCATCATATATATTTGTAAAGAAATTATCCCGCAATATTTGACTGCTTCTGTAGTGAACTCCAGGCCATTCACATAATTTTGAAGTGAGCTTAAGATATTAAAATCAAAGGGTGCAAGGTCTAGTGAATATTGAGGGTAACATAAACCATCCGATCAAAACACAAACACAAAACTTTTGTTTGAACTTCATTGAAAAGTGGGGCCAAATATTATCGTAATGGAAGAAAATGCATAAAAAATGGGGCATTTCTGCTATTTAAACTGCTATTTGGGATAAGTATTTACCAAATATATTGCCTGATTTTGAGATAACTGATCATTGCAAACAGTTCCTTTGTAGTCCCACAATACATGAAGCATTACCTCTTTGGGAGACAGTAACACTATCAATGTTATTATAGGAGATTCTTCTGACTTTCCTTATGATGCTTTCCTTGTAACATTATTGTATAGTATCCACTTCTCATCTCCAGTAATTTGCTATTTCAAAATAGGAGCATTAAAGCAATGATATTCTGCTCTTTGAGTATGGGATATTCCAACAACATAACAGCTTAAAAACCTAGTCTTCTTCGAATGACTGCGTACTGTACATTTTGGAATATTTATTTTATCTGACAGTTTCTAAACTGTATACCCTAGAGGTACTTACGTATTAACGCAACCAGGCCAAAATTTGCATAAATCGCCAAAGTTGGCAACCCTACATGTTTAGACGAAAGTTTATTTGTAAAAAGAAAAAATAACACTGGGCGTGTACTACCACAGCAATGGGTTTTCGGCGGAATTTGCCGAGAAAAGAAAGAGAGTTCTTTCGTTACTGTACCTAACAGAAGCGCCCTTACCCTCATGGAAAAAATTTGCGAAAATATCAAGGAAGGAAGCATCATTTATTCGGATTGCTGGAAAGGATACAATACAAGTGAGTTCGAAAATGCTGGATTACTGCATGGAACTGTTAATCACAAATATAACTTTGTGGATCCCAACACGGGCGTTCACACACAACATGTAGAGCGCATGTTGGGCTCAGCCAAATGGTGCAACAAAAAAACAGAGAGGAACAGCCCATCATCATCTTGACTCATACCTTATCGAATTTATATGGCGCCAAGCTCAAGCTGTTAATGACGAAGACGGTTTTCAATCAGTGCTAACAGCAATAGCCAAACGATTTCCGCCGAAAAAATAATTCTGCAACTTATTCAAATTCGAAACCGGAAGGGTTTAATTGCTATTTTATATTTTAAAACAAAATAATATAAAAAACTGTATTAAAAATTATCTGTAATTAATAAATGTACATTTTCTTTCTATTCATACTTTTTTACTCAAACTAACAAATCACGCCAACCTGGTTGCGATAATACGTAAGTACCAACCTAGATTTTTAGCAAGAACCTCTCATAATAAGTTCTTGTTTGCAGAGAATGGTCATTCATAGCAAGCATCATTTATGAGGCTGAAACTTCCGCATGTGCAGTTTTCTAACAAACCTTCGAACTGTGCCATCAGAAACCCAATTTTACCACATGTAGCAAAAATTTTGAGTGCAGTCTGACTATTTTTTCATTTTCTCATTTTCTATTATAAAAGAGCACAATATGAAGAAAATGAATTTTTTAATTCTCCATTCTTGGCAATGTACTGGAAGAAATTACGTCACAACACGTACTAGAATTCCACAACACAAACACAAAGACCATATTTAAACACTCACTTCAATTAAGATCACTCATCAGCAGTAACAAAATATCTAGAAGAAAACATTGTGATCTGAAAAACCATAGATCCTTTTCGATGACCAAATACTTGCATAACCTTTTTGCCTAGAAAAAAATTGCACTTGAAACACTGCACAAAGCACCTTGACATAACCTTTGAAGTTAATTAAATTTAATTTTTATGCTCTATTTATGTTATCTTATATATATTTGTTTGAATGCAAACTGTTATCACTCTTTGTAATATTTTTATTTTTGCAATATACAAAAAATATACAAAAAGCTTTATTTTAACTTGTCATCAAGTGTATTGACAATGTCTAAAAAAATAAGAAGTCACTTAATTAGGCTTTTAATTTTAAACTGTGTCTAATAATTCAAGGTAAAATATATGTAACCTATTTTAAATATTAATCTTGAATATTTTACAGTGAGACATTTCAAATTAATACACTTTAGATAGCAAGAGGATATTAAACTGAAAAAATAACAATTTTTGACTTTTTAAAAGGCTACAAAAGTTCAAAAGAATTTATGATTGACGAAAAAACAGAAGAAATTCCTGACATAGCCTCATTAGCTGAACAGACGGCCTCTTAAAATGAATCGGATATCACATTTGGAAAGTGAATTCACAGAATTTGTCAAACAATGAATACGCAAATCAAATCAAAAGTTTCAGTGCTATATCATGCGATTATAAAGGGGGAAAAGGTACAATTCTTGCATAGTATAAGCCAAAAGAAAATGAAATGCAACTTGCAATGTGTCTAAAAATTGATTTAAGTATGCCGAAAGTTATCAGTATTTACTAATTTAATTGAAACTCTATGCTTCTTACAAAGACCTGGTCTTCTTTCAAAAATCAAAATTTGACTGAAAGTGTTGGTGTAAACTTCCAAATTTTCAAAGGCTCACCAGTAATTGAAACTCTATGCTTCTTACAAAGCCCTGGTCTTCTTTCAAAAATCAAGATTTGACTGAAAGTGTTGGTGTAAACTTCCAGATTTTCAAAGGCTCACCAGCGGCTGAGCAGTAAAGTTGCTGAACACTGGTAGTTCGTTCCGAGATTTGAATCCCGCGAACGGGCTGGCTGCATTGCTGTTTTCGTGGTTTTCCCCATGTGTAACGTATATACGAGCCAGTTTCCCTTAGAAAGTCCTCCACGAAGGCATCCCTCCCCTTAGACAGATAGCCCTAGTGTGCTTTGCCGTAATCTCTCAATAAAACCAGATTTTCAATATCCCCCTTAGAAACTGCCTCTGCCAATATCCTGACAAACACAGATTTCAAAATTGGAAACTTTTTTATGTTGTAATAGTTGAACAAGTTTCCTGTGACTTTTCAAGCAAATTATTATACACATGAGCTACTATTACAGTACAAAGTCCGAGATCTGGACTTGTTGGGACTTTGGCAATTCTGAATTTAGGATTTTTCCGGATATTAGATCCATCAGTTTAAATCTAGTGAGATGGCATGCAGAAATTATAAAATTTCTGGATCTAGAGCCATACTACATATTTCACCGTCCATTAATTGACTGATGACTGGAACAATTGCAATGAAAAACTTCTATTATATCATCTTCACTTATTACCACTTCCCCACATTTCTTTACAAAATCAATTAATAGGAAAAGCAGATACGCAGCTACACAGCTAAATTATTGATCACACGAATTTATGCTAAAATGACTTTCTTTAATAATGAGGTATTTTATTCAGTACCAAAGTGAAATTAAGAATCGGGATTCTCCACATGCATTCTTATGGGGGGGGGAAATTAAATGCACATGCAAAAAGCATTAAAAAAATTTCCTAAACAAATTTTGTTGGTGGCTTTAAAGTCCGGATTTTAGAACATTCCGGATATTTGACACCCGGATCCCAGACTTGGTACTGTTGTGGAGGTACACTTGGCATGAATTCATATACTAAGATCCACTTGGGCGAGTTAGGAAATCTTGCTGAGTTTCTGCTTTGTAAACTAACAATTATCTGCAGTTGTGAAACAATTCTGCTTGGTTTATTACTAATTTGAAGTGTGTTCATTTTTTTTCACTTCATGTGTGCTTGCTTCTTATGCATAATAATATCAATGCATTCATTGTCATATAATGTGTATATATTTTGTATCACACTAAAATAATTATAATAATGATATGACATAATTCTAGTAGAGGTTAATTTCCATAAGGTCTTTTATTCTAGCGTTTTCTTCAAAAGTAATTTTAAACTACCAATTTCCTGTATATTAGCAGCTAAATTTTTCATTGTAATGTATTTCTAGATGAGAAGATTCATGATTACCTTTTTAGAAAATTCAGAGTTCATTCAAATTTACGGCATCCTTCTTGTCAGCATAAGTTTTATTTTTTATGTACCAATCATCAATTTCATCTATACATTTTCCACAATAAATTTAAAAAGAAATATTTGAAAATAACTCTAACATAACATACCTATTTCCTTTCCCAACTTGGACCTATACATGGAACCAGCACTAGACACAATGGCACAGGTATTATGCTTCTGAAAAGTCTGAAACACTGGCTTTTGAGGAAAATATTTTTCATAACCTAATGTCCGAAATGGTTCAATACCTTTATGCAACATTTCAACCTTTACCTTACTCTTGAGTTCGCAAATTAGTTCTTGTTGACTTTTGGCAGGAATTTTCATTTTTTGCCTTTTAAACTTTACTTTGTAAATATTTCTTTCTTTCTTTTCTTTATGAAAAATTACATTCCCAGCAACTAACTGTGCTTTGCGCAGCTGAATTAGCAACTGGCTTTTGTATGTGTGGATCTTGCTATTTAATTTATCCATTGGAACGTCCCCTGTATTGTTTCCTTTCGGAGAATTCAGAACACCATTATTTGATACACGGCTCTCATACAATGCAGACTGCTGCAAATAGTTAGCATTATGCATAATCATCAATTGTTTCTTTTCTAAGGCAGTACGCCAATATTGACTCCATAAAACATAAGTATAACTAATAACTCCAAATATTGTCATGCACATGAACATCCATATACTGATGGCAATAAGAGGAACTCTCATTTTTAGGCAATGGACCTGAAATAAATTTGCCCACAATCAAAATATATTAAAAGTGAATAAGCACTAACATTAATTTTAAATTGAATAAGATTTTAAAACATTAAAATTCTTAAAGAGCAGATTGCTTCATTAGAATAAGAACACTGAAAGTTTATATTTCATGATTTATATGCATAATTCTGACTTCTTTTACCACATTTTAAAAGTCATACCAGTAGCCAAACAGTTAATGCATCAAAACATTGCAAGTTCATTATGAGGTCTATTCCTGGTGGCTAAAACGACTGTTTGCATGATGTAATGTAAATATAAATCAGTTTCCTCCTCCTCCAAGAAAACATATCTCCAAAAAGGCAAACAGGCCTACTTTATTCTTTCATAATTATATCAGTCAGTCCTATCACATTTTAAAGTTAAACAAGTTGACAATTCCACAGTGGTAAATTTGATGCCAAAAAAGTAAAATAGCAGGACAGTGTAAGTCTTCTTAGCTTTCAGCTTATTAATTATTAAGCTAAAAATAATAAGGGAATGTTTTTCCTCTTGTTGCATCATTATTTAAAATATATTGTACTTGTGGTTTCTAAGAAAATTACTAATTTTAATTTGGCAATAGACCTTTTTATTCTTTATTTTAATTTGGCTCCTTCCCCATCTTGGCCTAATCAATTTTAAAAAGCATATCATCTAGCATATGCCATCTTACATAAGCGTTGCAATGCAGACAGTTCTTATCCAATCCTATTATAGAAACTTTTGCCCATATATTTCAAAATTTTATATACATAGCCCTTTTTCCCCCGCTTTGTTTCCTTGTGGCAAACATGCATCGCTGCTGTCTTCTTCAGAGTATCGTCCATTTCTTAGGATAAACTAAGCTTTCAAAAGTTGTGGGATGCAAATTGCACCCATAATAATGTTCGATTCAAATATTGCATCTAAAGAACTGCTTTGTTAAGAAACAAAAATTATGTGATGAATTTATGGCCACATCTTTTATCTCACAGTAAAGAATCTTCAAATTATTACAATGCAACAAACCATCAGCAATTCATTACCAGCTATTCCAAAATCACCCTACTACACATATGTGTGGGGGGTGCATAATCAATATTATTTATTAAATTATATATATATATATATATATATATATATATATATATAATTTGAATATATTATATATAATTATATATAATATAATATATAATGAATTATATATATATATATAATATAATGATTGAATGGTGCAAATGACTTGTTGATTCTCAAAAACTGCACAGACTGATAGGGTTATGTAGATGGAAATGACGCATTTGCAGATGGGCGCAGCCGCATTCAGTGTCATTTTGTGAACGGATAAAGCATTTTTGGAGACACAATATTTACTTCACATAAAATTACGGGCACAGTATGCACTTCATAATTTTAAAACTTAGCTCATCTTCAAACAATGGACAATACAGTGAACCAAGCAGCATGTGCAAAGCTAGAGCAGGAAAGAAGTGTGAGAAAGAGAGCTCAGTTGGATTGCAGTGGTATGTAAAGTAATGTCTTTCTTTAATCTGATTCGCTAGAACTATGTGAAGAGTAAAAGATTAAGATGACATAATGCAGAATAAATAAATTTCATAAATCTTGGTTGAGAACTGAAACTGCTAGACAACGACATAAAAAAGGCCTTGCTTCTAAATTCCAAAAGCTCTCGAACCAGCCGATTAGCCCCACCGATCCCGTTAATCTTCCCACCGTAAATACCAATCCCACTGTTAATATTTCTTCTGTTAATCTTTCGGATGATAAAATAAAAGTATCAAAATATAGTTTCAACTTTTCAAAAGTATCTACATTTTCAGTTCCCGCAATCATTTCTCCTATTGAAAAAGCTTTCAAATTCTGTAAAATTTCAGAAACACAGAAAGATACAATCCACCACTTAATTACTCATAATGTGAATTTTAATAACAAATTGTTTGTTTTTAATCTTAACCAAAAGGAAAGGAAAGCCTTGTGCAAAATTCATTCTAATCTTAACATTATAACTTTCAAAGCTGATAAGGGTGGCCAGATTGTTGTTATGGACAACCATATGTATAATAATGCAGTCATGAAACTGATAAATGAAAGCCTATATTGCTCGATCCCTAATGATCCTTCAATTTGTGACCTGACGAAGGATATTAAATCCTCTCATATATCTCCAACTCAGTTTAAAGAATCACTCATTCCATCTATTGCTAACTCTGCACGGTTTCTTGCTCGACTCAAATTCCATAAAATCTGAACTCTTTTTTAACCTATAATTTCTATCTTAGGAACTGCATCATTTCATTTGTCCAAATATTTAGTTTCAATAGTTTCTCTTTTAGTTTCTAACAATATTCACACTGTTAAAAGTTCCTGAAGTCATCAATAAACTTAGATATTACTCTCCTGCATTCAGTTATGCTTTCTTTTGATGTTAAATCACTGTTTACTAATGTTCCAGTCAAAGAAGCATGTTTTGAAACTAGGTTAGTAAATTCCATTTCACACATACTGAAATTGAAGTTAATTTCTCTTACTAAGTATCTTTGAATCAAATCCACTTTGTTTTCCAAACTGAATATTATCATGAAATTGAAGTATTAGCAATGGGTTATCCTCTCAGTCCTGTACTTGCTGACATTTACACGCACTATTTTAAGGTTAAATAATTAGAGAAACTATCTTTTTGTCTATGGATTCGCTACAATAGATCACACTTTTTTTTATGGTAATAAAGAAGATTGGATCCCAGATTTCATTTTTTATAAATTCAACTAATCCAGTCATGCAGTTCACTTTCGAAACTGAAGCTGCCAATAAATACCCTTCTCTTCCATGATGTTCCATAACAAAATCTTTTTCTGTTAGTTTGCCTCCCTATGATAAATCACAACAGAAGGTTAAGCAAAAACTGGTTTCTTTTTTACTGACATGTATTTCATGCTGTCAAAGTTTATAGCCTAGAATCTTATCTTTCTTCTTCAGTTGCACTACATCCTATCACAGGCCAAGGCCATCTCAACAAGCTTCCTCCAACGGATCCGATTAGTCGCTACAGTCCCGACTGATTTTTAGAGTCCTGAGATCTGCCTCCACACAGTATATCCATCTTGTGTGAGGTCTTCCTCTTTTCCTGGTACAGTCTATACCTGCAAAGGTCACCTTTTTAAACAGGGTTCAAGCTGTCACATCTTTTCTTACTTAATGATGTCAATTATTTAAAAGCAGTTGCCTTTGACAGAGGGTTTTCTCACACGGTCATTGATAAAGGCCTTTAAAAAAAATTCCATTCAAATAGCAGCAAGTCATCTGCTATTAGAAATAAATTTAATAACCTTGTCGTTCTTCCATTTCATCCTTCCATCAGTTAAAAAATTGCATGGATTCCCAAAAAGGTCAATTTTCTCACCTACCAACAAAATCCATGGCCTGATTCTTAAAGATTCCATTTCTGATTTTAATTCTTGTGGAATTTATAGCATATCTTGTCAATATGGTTTGAGATATATAGGTTAAACTAAATAAAAGTTTCACATCAAGGATCATAAATATTCTGCCCAAAAAGATTAAAGTAACAAATCTTAATAGTTAATCATAGCTGTTAATTTAATAATAATTTTGACTCTGGGTTTGCAGAAATTATCCAAAAAGCTTTTTCAGTTGGTGAATTGAATTTCTTTGAAGCTTTTTCATATTCACGAACATTTATTTTGTTTAGTTATAATGACTTTAGTTCCAATCCAGTACTTCCTAATGCTTTTAAAATTCTGTTAACTCAGTTTATTATTTCTGTCAACAGATGGCAATACCTTCTCATTCACTTTACTTCTTTGCTTTTGATATAAATACAATCAATGGTTCTTTCCTTCTTAGTAGAATTTCTTTGTTCCTGATGAAGAGGAGCCTGTATCTGTTAATCCTCAAAACTGAAACAGACTTAATCTATGCCAAACACAAGGTTGTTTTCTTGTCCAATTTTATGCTTTACTCTGGTGTGTTTATTTTCTCTCTTGATACATGAGCAAATAATAGATATGCATTTGAAAAGAAGCAAACACCTCTTTGTTGATAATATATTGAAAGATGCAGAAATCAAAATAAATGCCATGTCGGAAGCATGCTTCAAAACGAATTGCTCATTGAGATATGATTAGACAGTGAACTATGTCAACCAAATATTTATGGTAAAGCGTATCATTTACTGTTGTGGTATTGGGAAGAAAACTTGAATGAACAGTGAACTAAATTCAGTTGGTGTTTGTGGAGTCATTGATGAATCTTCCCAGAAAAGACATTCAGTTATGTTTACAGACACTAATAATAATGTTTCATATGGCTGAGTCATATGTCAGGAAAAGTGCCTAAGTCAGAAATTAATAATGTTCTAAAGCACATGTTTGTTCAAGCTAAGACCTTGGGACAATCAACAGATTTCTCAATGACACTGAAAGCAAGTGTGACAAAGAATAAATTTATGTAATTCTGCAATTGGGAATAATTAAAGACTGACCATACTTTACATATCCAACAAAATAGCACCAGTAAACATGACAAATTACTATAAATGAAATGGTTAGTACATTCAAGGTGGTAACATGTTTGCTGCCAAAGCTGATGTGGTGCATCTGTTCATATATGCTAATAATGTAATTTTCCATTAGAATCTGATTAGTCCATTTATAACATTTCCCAAGTGAATTAAAACTAAAAAAAAAAAAAAAAAAAAAAAAAGTTTCACATTTTACACATTTAGTACCCTCCCTGTATGCCAAATATCTAAACATTTGCATTTCCTAAGGTGATACTTGCCTTGAGTGATTTAACTGAAACAATTGGTACAAAGTTATCTCTTAGCTGGCAAGTAAAATGCCAGCTAAGAGAAAAAAGTCAATTTGCCATGTAAGAATATTCTCATAGATGGCAGTAAATGTGTTAAATCCTGAAGCCCATTTTAGGGCAACACTGCAGATTGAGAAGTTAACACTAACTGTACTAAACAGAACTGGCCAGTCACTTACAGAATGCATGAATTTATATGAGTTATGAATTAAAAAAAACTCGTAAGATAAGGAAGTAAAACATGACAGAATTCATTTACTATTACCATAATGCTGAGCCCCCGCCAAAAAAAAGATAATAAAGCTACAAAAGCCCTGTTTAATTGGGTATAGTGGAGACTGCAAAAGAAAGCAGTACTGTGATTTGCATACATGATGTCACAATAAAAGACAAGATCACAAATGAGGAAGACAGGGCCCGTTTTCCTGTTCAAGATCAAAATATATTTGCAGCTCAATTTGAGCAACTAGGAAACTCAAATAAATAAGAAAATTTCTTGGTGAAAAGGATAATTCAGAAAATTATCTTGCAAGCAACTATACTGGAATTTCCAATGACAATCATCACAAATCTTTCACTAGTGATGAAGTACATGTGGTTGAAACAACAGGTTCAAAGTGGTGCATTTTACATCTGCCCACAATGCCAAGAACAGTGCGAGCAATTGATACTTATACTACCTATAATATCTGAAAAAAAAAAAAAAAAAAGTCCAGCAAACATAATGTAACTGTGAGTTACAAGCTTGTTATAATAAATATGAATTCTTGGCAGGTGGCATGCATGTTGGTAAGATAGTACTTGTAGCTTGGATAGTGTGATAGATTACGGCATGTTTGATTTAAAATAACTATTGAGATATATATTAATTATGATGATTCAAATGATGCATCAAAAGTTAGTTTTTCTGCAGAAGAGTTTACTCATGCTTTCAAATCGACTATGATTAAACACTTAGTCCAGTAAAAAAGCTAGAAATTGTCTGCACTCAAGTCACAGCACTACAACTTATATGCAAATGTTCCCAATACAACATTCTCACATTGCACACTAAAAGAATTTGTACACACACATGGAGTAACTGAAATGGTATACTGACGATTCTGACAAGATTAACAAACAACACACTACTGGAATAAAAATTTCAGAGATTTTTGTATCATCCTGGGTTTGAGTTGAGTGAAACTGACCCATGCTTGCACATAGAAAATAAAGGTAAAAGAAAACTAAATTTATGTTTAAAAGATTGATTGTTTTCACTAACTCATCTAAGAGAATCTGAAAAATTCATCAGATAATTAAGAATTAAACTCACAAATAAAAAATTTTCAAGGATTTGATGTTCTGCATCTTCACGGCAGAAACATCAAAATCAGTCAGCAGGCAGCTTAGAATTGAAAAATTCTTCAGCAATCAGAGAGAAAATTTCAAGTTAACACCTATGCAAGAACAGTTACCACTTATGCTAGTTATGAGTTAACACTTATGCTAAAAGATAATCTAACTACAGAAAAATGCACATAAACAAAACCATTAATATTGAGCCACAGACGCTTAAGTATATTTTATGTTAGGTATGACAATTACCTTCCCATTTTGTATGGTAATTAGAAATGCTGGCTTCATTGAGCCCACACTTACAGTCCAAAGAACACATGGATGTTTGTGGTTATGTATCTCCCTTCTCATGGTATAATATCAGTTTCTCCTTGCAATGCATCCCTGGTAACATTCTTGAAGATAAAACAGGTAAATAACTATACATATAGTCTTTTAAATGCCACAGTTTTGGATATTCATGCTTAGTTAGCAAATGTCTAGTCATTGGGAGAAAATGCTAGCCATAAAATCAGTTTTAGCATACCATGCTGTTGCCTTCCATCAGCTTGAAACTCATTCTAAAAGTAATAAGATTAAATTGAATCACTTGCTCAGGGAACATAGCAAAGTCTGAAATTAAATGTACTATATATAATATTCGTGCACTATATTTAAACTGCATATGTTATCATGCAAGAATAATTAATTACTTTGCAAGTATTATCATCACAAGTTCCATATTTACTTGAAAGTAAAGCTCCCCTCGAATATAAGACCCTGCTTAAATTTTATGATAATTTTAAGAAGCAAACTACAAATCAATATTTGTCTTGCAGTTATTCTGAAAAAGACAACCTTAGTTATTTGTCTTGTAGTTATCCTCAGAAAAATAGTGTTAGTTTTTCTCCCCCTTCCTTCAGAATTTTTACAAACTAACAGTATCATAAGCTGTGGCCCAAAGATGTTGGTGACACACTACTAGCTATTTGTTTCAGGTACAATAGTTATTAGCATATTAGATGCAGGTCTAAACAGAAATTGCTCAGCTAAATGTCGCTATTATAATAGCAGCAGTTACACAATATATCTGAAATGATTTAGATGCTAACAACATAATTATTAACCCTCTGAATGGCGTGGGATTTCAGATCTGTCATGAAGACATGAATTTAAATAGTATTTATTAATTAAATGTTACTTATTTCAGTCTCATTTTCATAAACTTACATTCATTAATATGATATTAACATTATTAAAGGAAGTAAGAAAAGAAAATATCTTTAAATTGTAATATAAGACAAGTGATGAAAAATCTGATGACCATATAAAGCCGGTAATGGTGCTCAGAGAGTTAATTCTGACAACTGATTCACAAAGAACTAGATGCACAATGATGGAGTGATGACACATAAAAAATACGGTACTATTCGGTTTCGAGGGCCGTAAAAAAATTGCAGCGAAAATGTACACGCAAAAGCGCCAAATCTAGCAAACGCGTCCATTTAACAGAGCGCCAAATCTAGTGTACGCGCTGATTTCAGATTGCGTATGTTTTTATAGTTCTATATTTCTTAAGACGCCATTGAAATACTAGTTTAATTTTTAAATCATTTTTTGATTTTAAATCCTTTTTTGATATCTTATGGATTTAATAATTTGGGAATTGCCCATGACGAAAAGTCGGCAATAGAATTTTGGGTAAAGTTCAGAATCACCCGCTGCTTGACGCATTTTTAAGAATTGCACGTACTCAGTATCCATGTGCACATCGACCTATTTTCACTTTAAAAAAAAATACTAGAACTGCACAAAAATGGAACTGCGCACAAGCGATTCTGCACTTTACGGAGAATATTTTCAAAGAAAAGGCATCATTCATTATAGAAAATTACATTTGAACAACCAACGAGATGAAATTATGCTTTAGCGATAAGTCGGTAGCGAGATAGCAATGCAGGCATCCATTCAGTTATGTTTAGCAATTTTTGGTTGATCTTTACAATATGGTAACTGGTAGTTTGGCGACATTTTGGAGGCGATAAAGGTTACTACCTGGGACTTTGGTAATAATGTGAGCAGCACTCGGTTCCGATTACGCATTATTTTGTGTGAGGGAAATGAGAGATCATGGGATATGTCATGTGATATTAATGGACGAATTATGGTTCTTTAATCGGAAAAGGGGGGAAATCGGGAAAAAATCTGGAAATTTTTGTATTTGGCTTTATTCTGTGTTGGGTGAACAGTGTTCGTGAATTTTTGGATCCCATGGCCGTAACTAAAGTGAATTCGAAATGGGTATTTATGTAATTTTAATGTATGTGCTCATTTATATTTAAGTAGTGGTTTTTGAATTTAATTATATTTAATTAAATGATAGTTTTTTTGTGAATTTTATGTTTGTAGGAATTTGGTATACGTTTTTGTTGAGTAAACGTGCATGGAAATAATTTAAATATCTGACACTAAGTATTTGTAATGGGTTGCGGTATGAATTCGTTGGTGATGTGTATAATGTAATAGATGATTTTAGCGGTAAAAGTTTTTGGATCTTTTATTTATTTTCTATGTGGAAATGTTCATATTTGGAAAGGTAAATACTTTTTCGCGATCAGTAATTTCATATATGTTCTTTTTACCGGGTTTAAAGATTGAGAAAATTGTCATGTATTTTCACGAAATTTTTCTAATTTTATGAGAAAAAGCAGGTACATGGATATAGTGAAGAGTGTGCGCAATGCCATTTTTGTGCAATTCTGGGATGTTTTTTTAAGTAAAAATAAGTCGACGTGTACATGGTTTAGTGATATTTTAATTAAATGATAGTTGTTTTGTGAATTTTATGTTTGTAGGAATTTGGTACATATTTAAGTTGAAGTAAACGTGCATAGAAATAATTTTTAAATATTTGATACTAAGTATCTGTAATGCTTGCGGTATGAATTCATTGGTGACGTGTATAATGTAATAGATGATTTAGAGGTAAAGTTTTTGGATATTTTATTTATTTTATATGTGGAAATGTTCATATTGGAAAGGGTAATACTTTTTCGCGATCATGGTATTTCATATATGTTCTTTTTACCAGGTTTAAAGATTGAGAAAATTTGTCATGTATTTTCGTGAAATTTTTCTAGTTTATGAGAAAAAAGCAGTGTACATGGATATAGTGAAGAGTGTGCGCAATGCCATTTTTGTGCAATTCTGGGATGTTTTTTTTAGTAAAAATAAGTCGGCGCGTACATGGTTTATGTGTATGTGTTATTTTGAAAACGCATAAGGAGTATGGTATTGTCACTTTTTCCCAATTTGCAGTGAATATTTGTCATGATTAAGCAGTTTTGTTAGAAAAATTTCTAGCATAAGTGTAATTCGGCTAGTAGATTGTTGAAGAAGGTTCAGTAGATAAAAAGAAAAGAAACATGTCTTTACTTCGTGGAGACAAAACGACGGCGGGAAAAAAAAATAGAGGGTTGCTGTAGGAGAGTTGGTCGCCAAATTTTCGCCAAGTTACCATAATGTAAAGATCAACCCAATTTTTATATAAATTATAATAATGATCTGAAATAGTTATTTACTCTTATGCTTCCATTCAGTCATGTTTAGCCTTTTTCATATAAATTATAATAATAAAAAATATTATATGAAATTAACCTTTCATCTAAATTAAAACATCAATCTTAAATAGTTATTTACTATTATACTTCCTTTCTTGCTGCAATTATAAGGCTGCCGCAATTATTTTTGGCAGCATTGGCATCAACAATATTTTGGTGATTTTTTACGGCCCTCGAAAACGAATAGTACCAAAAATGCTAGCAGTCGTAATGGCCAACATATTACACCTTTTTATTCAATGAAAGAAATAGAGTAATAGGTGCAATCTGTGTGCCCATTCAGGATCATATTTTTGCCTTTACTACATTATAAGAATTAATTCAATCAAATAAAGAGTCTCTCTCTTTAGGAAGTTGGCAAGACAGAAAGAATATGAATCGAAGATGAAAACTGGTTCAGAATGATTTAGTTCCGGTATAGTTCATTCTAAGTTTCAATTCCCAAATTTTAAATTATTATTGAATGAAATATTATTACAGTATCTGCATTATTATCTGCATCTGCATCATTAACGGAAAGTTAATTTTGAAATGATGCACTTTAGAACAATTTTTAATAGGCAACTGCTATTTTTAGGATGTAAAGGAAAACAGTTCAGTAAAAAAGTTCGGGGACTAATGAAAATTATAGCATTTTACCTTTACAATTTTTTTTTAATCTTATGTATATATATATATATTATATGGTAACTACCTGTGTGGTTTATTTATCAGTGTAATTATCTACATAGTATGACAACAAAACTCTTTCCTCATTCTGCAGTTTTTTCTCAAAATACCCAATTATAAGAGCTACCAATTATAACTTAGAAAAGAGGCCCTTTTTTGAAGTAAATATGATAAGAACATTGGAGTGCTATTGTCAAATGTATTATAAAGAAGAAAATTAGGAATATTACAGTGCCTCTCAGGAAGATCTACGAGTAATGTAATGACATTTATGTAATGGTAGGTTGTATAAATTAACTAAAGATCATCACAAGTATGCTACTAAATGATTGATACTTTGAAAAGAAAAAGAGATAACAAGTTTGTGAACCTCCTGTTAGCCAGAAAGAAAAGAATATTCTAACAGTAGTGTTAGAAACATCTCTAATTAATCTCAACAAAGCTGCATATGTTCATAAAATAATCAGTTGGGTGTACAGGAAGACCTCAGTTACCATGGGTTAAAATTTAATAACTGCACTCCAAATACAAATCACCACAGCTTTGAAATGTAGACCAATACATATGCAACCAAAAATATATTTAGTTCGAGTTATCATTTTCGAGGTAACGTTCTTGTAACATTTTGGCTTTATCTAACACCATACGCTCGCCAGTCACTAGTAACTGTCCACCTATGCCTGAAGGACATATGGATAATTGTTTCAGTATGTAAAGTATGAAATTAGGCAGACAAAGATACTGTCAGGTCAATCACTCCTATAGAATTCTGAGCCAAACTTCTGTCTGGAACTTTCACAACAAAGCATTCATCAGCCTTTCTGCACGATCCACCAAACATCTACTGCTGTGGAAGTATTCAACCTGCTTCTTTTTCACTTCATAAAAAAAGTTCATTCACTCATAAAAAAGCTTTTTACTTTTTCATTAGGTCCCCTGATTTTATTGGAAAGTCTACTTAAAATGCTATGAGTAGAAACTTCCCGAAGGCGATTCTTCCAATCACCTGTTTTGTCAACCATATCCAGCTGTTCTTTTTCCCATCCAACAGATATTAATTCTTTTAATAAGCTCTAAAAGAGCCATAGTGCAATCACAAATGCTATTCTTTAGCCTTTAAATTCTTTTTTTTAATTTTTTTTTCCAAAATGTAAGGGGGAAAAATAAAATAATAATGTTTAATTTATATCCTTGTTCTTAAAATAAGTATTTATTTACCACCTAATACTACTTCCATCATTCAGCCAACATATCAGCATATAATTACATCCGTCAAGGCCTGTTACTTCATCCACTCAAAAAATAAGAAATCAACATGGAGAAAATTTATCAAGAAATTTGTTCAAAGTATATCAGGATTAAACAAAATAAAAATATGATATATATAAATATTGAAATATAAAAATATAATTATTTAACCTATGGTATCATTTAGGTGATTGCCTTCCCCCTAACAATTTTAATTCATATATAAGCTTATTCTCAAACTGGTAAACTTCAGCATAAAAGAGTTTGCCAGAATTTCCTGTCTTACACACGGAAATATGCAGAAACCTTGTATAACACGGAAATATGCCACAAATGTCATCACATTCAGACTACAATCCCAAACATAAAGAAGTTTAACTGGTTACTATACAACATACACTCATGGCCAAATTAATAAGCATTTTCGAAACTTCTCACAGATAAAGATAATTTTTTTTTTCTATATGCCATTTTAGTCTGGCAATCATTTTTTCAGGTTAGATTGGATGCAATTTTAATGTTTATTACCTACTTCTTAAAAATGTTGATAAGGATGGAAATGACTATATCATTCAGGATCGCATATATAAAATTGAGGAAAGTGAAGAAATTTCACCCAAAAAATTTCTGAATGTTACTTTAATATATTATTTACAAAAAAATTAGGTAAATCTTCGGATTATGGTAACTCGGCGATTTTTTGGCAACCAACCCTTTTACAGCAACCTGCTAGGTTTTTTTTTTTTTTTTTTTATTTGACGCCATTTTGTTTTCACGAAGGCATGTTTTTGTTTTTACTCAACATTTTTTTCAACAATCTGCTAGTCGAATTACGCTTACGCTAGCACTTTTATGTAACAAAAGTGCTTAATCATGACGAAGATTAGGTGCGAAATTGTTTCTAAGTGCCTATTAGCTAAAATCACGATAGGAAGTTTCCGGAAAGTAGTGAAACAAACATGCACAGAAATTTGTTTTTACAGAGCAAATTTATATATGAAACATGTAAATAATTTTTCTCATAAAATAGAAAAATTTGCATGAAAATGCAGGAAAATTCTGTGAATCTTTGAAGTCGGTAAAAAGAACATGTATTAAATTACCTGATCGCTAAAAAGTATGTATACTATGCAAGCTTTTATATCTTTAGCTTGCATATACCCTTTCCGAGGATGAACATTTGCACGTATAAAATAAATAAAATATGCAAGAAATTAATTTCCTTTTCCCTCTAAATTATCCATTAAAAAAGTTGCCACAAAATAATCTGTGACTGAAACTGTGTACTCCTCAGGTTATTGCTAAAGTCCTAGCTAGTAACCTTTATCACCTTACCAAAATGTTGCCAAACTACCTGTTACCATATTCCAGAGATTAGCCAAAAATTAATAAACTATAATAGAAACAAAATTTTAAAAGATAATAAAACACCTAGAATTATGAAGTGTGCAAACAACAAAGGTGTAAGTCATGATTATCTAATACATAATAAATAGCAAATTTCTGCCCTTATTTTTACACACAACCATCATTATGAAAGATGAAAATTCCAAAAAATCCAAGTAAAATATATTCAAAATAGATAATACTTTAATTCTTTTCTACTATCAAGAAAGCTTCCGTTATAAAACCTCTTTCTCTGGAGGGTAAATATTTGGCTGTTGAACTGTCCTTTGAAAAACAACTGAGAATTTAAAAGAGTACCTTGAAAAACTTTCAGCGTTCCAATATCTAATAGTTTGAAACGTCAAGATCGGATTGTATAAAAAAACAAATGAATTACTAATTTCATTTCTATCTTACTTTCAGATTCGGTAAGATACTCTACAATTCATATTCAAATAAAAATAGATCAATTACGAATCCGAGCATACTTAAGGCATGGACACACAAATTAAACAATATTGATTTTTCTGACATCCTCCCCCCTCAGCCTTTTCAATTTTTCACATATATAAATTATGCGAAGACAATGAAAAGCGTGAGTTACAACTCACAATTCCTCAAAACAGAATATAAAACTCTGTATTTGACGACTTTCGACTATGGTAGATTAAACTATTTTTTGGTGCACCTTCTATACAGTTTTCGTACTCGAAAGACTCTGATACTGTTTATGTATAATTGTGAATGAAAACACGTTAGAACGCAACTTTTTGTGTTTAAATTTCTAAGTGAAGTCGATGATTCACTGGTAAGTTGTAAATTAAGTGACTAATAAGGATTTGTCTGCGTAATCTAAGTAATTATTAAATATTAATAAAGATAAGCTGAATTAAAATATAGTAATTCCTTCTTCACAATTTCAAATGCAATATATCTCTTAAGAAGATACCTTTGACGTATCAATTTTACTTGAATTAGAAATTTCAAACAAAACAATTACTAGCATCACGAAAGAAATAATACATTTCTTTATACGTAAATTAAACAATATCAGAATCTTTCGTTTCTTAAGACTAAATAGAAAGTGCACCAAAAATTCTATTGCACCAAAGAGGTTAGAATAGAAGGAGGGAAGGTTCAACTCAAACGGTGAAGCTTGGCGGCCATCTTCCTGTTATCACCATGACTTGTGCAAGGAAGTCTGTCATTGCAACATTTTTTTCTTTTCTTTTTGAAGCATGTCAGCTTGTATTGCATATTAATGCACAAATAGATTCTCGAAAAATATTCCGGGCATTATTTTTCACACGTAAGTATTAATTTTCTTTTTTTATGTAAAAACAATTATGTCAAAAATATCACAATGTTATGTAGTTTTCTTTCCAGATGTGAAAAAAAAAGGACTTAAAATAGGTTATTTAATATAACTATAATCAAAATATATTAAATACATTTTAATGTTTCTGTTTATAGCTGGTATCTTCGTTCGTTAAGACACAATGCTATATGGTAGGATTTAAATTGTATAATTTGAACGTTTTAGTAAATTCGTTTTATAACTTTCATGAAAAGTAAGAAATCAGTTGTTACTATTTTTATTAATTGTAAAGGTGTTAAATAAAGCAATGCTTTTCTTTATATATTAATTATTATTCATTTTTTTAAGTTAAGATAAACTGTTCTGTTGTTAAAATTTTTTTGTATAAACTTACAAATTTCTGCGCAGTGTAGTGATAAAATTAAGTAAAATTTTTACACAATTGAACATGTGGAAAGATGTATCCAAAAACTTATATAGGTGTATTTCTGTAATTCATCTTAATTAAAGGCAGTTTCTTTGAGATTAATAAATATGAAATGCGCATAAACTGAAATCAATGAATTCACATAAATCTGTTTTATTTTATTAAGATTTATTTTCTAACCTAAGCAAATTCGTGAAATATGCAGAAACATCATTTTTAAAGGCTTTAATGTTATGCGCATGCATTAGATTTCGAACTATTTCTTAATAATTTTGCTGTACATAGTAAATTATGGATATCTCTTTATTACTTTAAAACAAAAATTCAACAATAGCGAGGGATTTCATTATAAATTTAACATATCTTTACTGGAAAATAAATGCACGGAACAGCTTAGAAACACGTACATGTCACTGCCGTAATGCAATGTTTTGAAGTCACAAACATGGACGCCGCTTGTTCGGCGGAGTTTCATTCCCCGATAGTGGAGGAAACTGCGAACCCTCCCTCCTTCTATTCTAACCTCCTTGTATTGCACAGCAACCAAGGAGACAGAAATAATCGGCTCTGAAAGTTTTTTTTTTTTTTTTTTTTTTGTTCCTGTAATTTTTTTTTTACTAGAGAGCTAGCGTATTTCTACAATTCCGAGCAGCTGAATGTAGATCACTATTTTTACTTTCACTCAACTTTGTTTTCAGTTGAATTTCTTGATAACCAATAAGCGGTATTTTATTGGTTTGAAATAAAAATTTCTTCTTAATCTACCTTTCCTTCCCAGGATTATAAGTCGACAGAAAGATTTCTCAGAACCCCCATTTCCACTAAACCTACGTAGCTGAGTTACCAGCTTCACTTAGTAAACAGACTTGAAAGCCAACAAAACTCAATTATCTCGAAAAGACGTTTGTTTTCAAACTGCGAGTTGTATCGCTCACATTCTTTTCATTTTAAACTTGTTTGTTATTTTTGCTATTTATGGAAGATAACAGAAAGGTGGGGGAAAACATTAAAAACAAGAACTTTTTTTACAAAATTCTATATGGTTGATATAAAAAAAAATACGATCTGTGTATATTTACATCCTCACAGCCAGCAGATCCAATTCAGCAAAATGAAGATTAGATAAAGCATATAAACACATAGGCACTCAACATGTGTAAGTTAGGTTACTGCCCCATATAACACTCCCCAATATACCCAAAACACATTAATTTTACCGATTCTTGAAATTAGGAGGTGCATATAAAGTACCATATAATCCCACACCAAAGCGAAAATCAGTTATGTGCTGTATGTTATAAATAATCAAATGTTTTATAAATGCCAGAAATGCACATAAATTTAATGAGCATTCGCATTATTACATATGCTATGCTTTGCTATTTATGCACCTTTTATGTTGTTTATAGTATGTCGCTGATTTTGCAATAAACAATTTAAATGATAAGGAAAAGTAAGTAGGAAGTAAAAAGTAAAGTCGCGTATATAATAAACAGATTTTTACACGGTACGCTATGGGTCAATATGAAATATAACAAATTTGACGACGAAAAATTTGTAAACAAAGTCATCAAAAGTATAATAACGACTTAAAATACTGTCTAGTCTGAAATTTCCACGATTATAAATTTAATCAGCATATAAATATTTTAAAAATGACTTAGTCGGTTATGTTACAAAAACACAGCATATAAATATAGTTTTTTTTTCGGGGGGGTAGTTCCTCTATAAAATCGGTTTCCATTTCTATCGTCTACGACGTCAAAATACAGCCATCGCCTTACTGGAAATATCCCGTGATCCTTCAGAAGCAGAACTTTCGTCTGATTGGTTAATTTCTACACGGAGCACAGCTGCAAACGGAACATTTTCGGCAAAATTTCAAAATGTTCAGCTTAACCGAAACATCGCTTCCTCAGCTAGATGCAACATCGCCTGTAGTCGTGCTGGTTTTTCTGGGAACCCTCCTGTTTAAACCAATGCTACCAGAATCTCGTTTCTCGGAAATGTCTCACCTATCCGCGGGAATCGCTAGATGTTATATGGGTTTTAATGTCTTCTGAAAGCATATTACGTATTATAGTGTGTTTTAATTTTTGAAACAATGTTATCAGGATGTAGGGTTAAATATCGTGTTGCGCGCCTGTTTCTATGTAGTTTTGTTTTGGTTCTGTAGGTGGTTTGGTTTATTTGATCATGGCAGAATATACAGATGCTATTTACGGAAGCGGAGGAATGGCTTCGTGCAGAGATGGATGGAATTGATCTGATCGTGGGCGGCCAACTTGCATAAATGTGAAGGCATCTTTTTTTCAGGTTGGCCACGGCTCGCTAAGACAAATGGGTGCTCAGCATCGTTATTAAGTTGTCTGTATCGTGAAGAAAGCGATCTTCATCAAGATAATGGGATGCCCATGTGAAAATGTAAGCGAATAATTTCCGGCATATGCAAAAGAGCTAGCGTAATTACGAAATTATCTGGGTAACGGGGAGGACAATTCCATATTTTTATGTTATGGAGTTAAGAGTTAGATCTATCAGTTATGAATTTGCAACGGGCTAACGATGACTTTAACAAGACTACCATTAATTTATCTTCGAAATTAGGTGATGAAGTGCGCTTATGGCCACCAACGTTTTGAGAAATTTCCCAAATTTCTGATAAGCCTATTCACTGCTGCCTTCCTGGATGACTTTCTAAGGAAAACTGTTTCGTGTCCGTGTTTCAAGTGGAAAAAGCCATGAAACTACCCATGCAGTCAGCCCGTTCACCTGAAATCGAACTACTGGTGACCACTCGGCCGCTGATGGGCGGTTCTATGACTACTCAAGTACTTCGTTTAAGAATACTATTCAGTATGTCTACAGCGATTTTGTTGAATATGCGTTGCGAATTTTCAGAGCTTTTAACATTAATTTAATATTTATATGTAATGTAGATACGCTTTCATTTCATCAACCAAATAATAAAACACAATCATTGAGCAATACATTTATTTATTAATAATGTTAATCTCTTACTTTTTATTTATAAACAACATTCTAGACAACTAGTAAAGTTCGAACTGGAATTCACTAGTCATAATATTCTGTTTTTATACTTAGTGTATAATATCTCCGCTTTTATGACAGGGAAATAACAAAATAAAATCTTTTAAGCGAAATGATTGTTTTATTCTTTTGAGAGTCCTGCTTATATAAGCTGTTTTCAGATTGCTTGAGTACTGAGCGCTTTATTATGTAGTTTGATTGAGGTTTTTTCAGCTCTCTTTAACAGCTTGGACAATATAATTCAGTATCATAATACCTAAAGTAATGGAAGGGTGAACATTTATAGTTTCTCAGATGAAATGAATTTCTTCTTGCTATACTTCCTTTTTCTAGTTTTATTTAGAGTGATTCTAAATTTGCATTTCTTCACAATATCGCTTTTACCCCGAAGATTACTATATTTTCTCTTACGTTAAAATCTGTCTTTATCTCCTTTATTAAAATCTTATCATGATAGGTAATCCTTTCCTTGATTCCTAGCGACGTTCCTCTTCTACTTGTTCTTTAAAATCCTGTATTTTTGGTTTTAAAATTAACATAGTAGCTGGTAATTTTGCATAAAGGCATCCACTTGTAAGAGGCTGTGCAGATAAGACATTCATTTTAGTAATCGGTGTGTTCGTGTATCCTAGAAGGGCTTTGTGTATTTCATCTACCACATTCCTGTTTTACGGAGAATATTTTTAGGTATTCTTATCATTTTTGCTGCAGATTCCTCCAATTTAGGATTAAAAAAACAGCTGTTTTAAATCTTAAATCCGTAAGCTTTTGAAAATTAGTTTAATTTTGTACTAGTAAACCGTTCAGGACCAGCGTAG